TGAATCTAAATGCCTGTACGTGTATTTGTGTGTGAGTGTGCTTGCCATCATAAGGTTTCTCCATAAGAATGTTCAATAGTGGGTGTTCAGATCCACAGATCCACCCCCTAGGACATGATGACGACACAGTGAAGACTGGAGCCACAGACACCCAGTGGCCCCCAAGCCCGAAACCCCGGGAGTCCCTCAACAGGGACAACTGCACCCCCCAGAGAGAGGCAGAGGAGAGCCCTGGGTGACCCCCCAGCAGCCACAATGCAGAAGCCCCAGGGGGCTGCAGTGACGAGCCCACAGGCCCCGCCAGCAACCTGCTATGCCAAAGCAGATCTGGTCATGCACACAGAAACCCAAGCCCCGAGGTCATACCACCCCACAACAGAGGTCCGACGGAGCCAGGACACCTGGGCCCCGGCAAGCAGCCACCCGTGCTGGCCGACACACACCCAAGTACCCTGCCCCAGATGCCGAGAGCCACCAATATACCGGCAGGCAGGGGGATCAGCCACCGGAGGGGAGTGGAACGGGGGAAGTAAGCCCCACATTAAATGAGGGGCCCAAGATGATCAAGGAGAGGGGACTGCCCAAAACCCAACCTGACACAAAACAGGCACACACAGACACAAGTAATCACACATTCCCACCCTCATGCTCACACATAGACATTCACACCCACTCATCCATTATAAACACATACAAAAATGGATGTTCTACACCCAATCATACTCCCTATACACATTCTATACTCCTAGATCCAGGAAAGGTCCCACAAGAGGGACAACCCATCCCTAGACCCAGGGGTAGTTCCCTTTGTTCTGGGTTGGAGAAAAGCAGACCGCCCAAGCCTTGGGAGCAGCAAAGCAGCCCGACAGCCTGGATGAGGCCCGGGCAACACCCAAATGACCTGAGCCCAGATGCCGGCCTGGTCCCCGACCCCATCCAGAGACAGAGTCAGAAAGAGTCCACATGGCCCCCACGAGCCAACCAGCCAGAGCAGCCCCAGGGAGAAATAGTCCACCCCTAGCAATCTCCAATCTCAACTCCGTGGACCCCCCAAAATTCCCACATGGGCTCCCCCTTAGGGCCACCCCCAACCAGCCCAAAAACATAAAATATGCACCCCAAACGCAGATGCCACAAGGGGGACCCCCTAAAAAGCCAATGAGAACACAAAAGCCCAGCTCTGCAAGCTCCGCATACAGCCCCCACCCAAGGCACCCCACGTGCACCCCACGTGCACCCCCCACCCCCCCACTCAACCTGCCACAATGACAGGACAACGGCCCTACATGGTACCACCCCAGCCCCACATACAGATGCAACCGAGCAGATGCCACCAAACCAAGCAACCACACAGAATCCCCCAACCCAACACCAAGACAGGATCAACCCCCTCACCAAGCATCCCCAAAGGGAGGCCTACACCTAGTGCTGACAGCTCCCATAATGCCCCTCTACCATACAAACATCCACACATCACCATCACTGCAACACCAGCCCAGGGATAACCATCATCAAGCATTCCTTCTACTATCCCTAGTCCCCTGTCAAATGAGACATCTTTAAAAATGTCACTAGCGCTTGATTTGTGTTTGGACGGTTTTAGTCCTGTTGAGCTCTATGGAATGTCAAAAATAATAGCCTCATCCAAACCATCCACATGTCTGCTAGATCCCATCCCATCCAGATTGTTTAAAGAGGTATTTCCCCTAATTGATGTCCACATTTTGTTCTGCTCAATTTGTCTTTAATGAATGCTTAAATAATGCATTGTGCTTTAAGGTTGCTCTAATTAAACCTTTACTTAAGAAGTCTGAACTTGATTCAGAAATTCTGGCCAATTATAGACCTATATCTAACCTAACTTTCATCTCAGAACTTCTAGAGAAAATAGTTGCAGGTCAACATTTTTCAGTCAGGTCATCTGGACAGTTTCTTTTATTGTGCTGAAACGTTTCGCCTTCGATCCGGAAGGCTTCATTAGTCAAGGAAACACACAACAAAACTGATTCTTCCCCCAACAGCTTACTCCAAAGTGGAACAAACCAGTTCTGCTTGTGATAAGATGGCCTCTTTGGTACGCCCCCTCCTCCATTGCCGGCCCTCTTCCTTGTTGACAGTCTTGTCAAACTGGTTGAAAACAACAAAGTCCTTGCTCAATAATTCAGATTATGCTTCCGGATTGAAGGTGAAACCTTGCAGCACAATAAAAAAGAAACTGTCCAGATGACCTGACTGAAAAATGTTGGATTGTATACCTGGATTATTGAGCATGGACTTTGTTGTTAGTTGCAGGTCAGTTGCATGATCATCTACAAAAGAATAGTCTGTTTGAAGAGTTTCAGACAGGGTTTAGAGCTCATCATAGCACAACAGCACTAGTAAAAGTCACTAATGATATTCTCATGGCCTCAGACAATGGACTTGTGTCTATACTGCTCCTGTTAGACCTCAGTGCTGCATTTGATACAGTTGATCACAATATTTTACTACAGAGGCTTGAATATGATATTGGGATTACAGAAAAAGCTCTTTAAATCATATCTAGTTTGTAAATGTAAATAATAAATTGGCTTCATACACCAAAGTTAGTCATGGAGTTCCTCAGGGCTCAGTGTTTCGACCAATACTCTTTACTTTATATATGCTTCCATTAGGTAAAGTTCTTAAACAGCATGGGATACATTTTCATTGTTAAGCTGATGGCACACAATTATATTTGTCCATGAAACCCAATGAATCCAATCAGTTACTTAGACTACAAACATGTTTTAAAGACAAAAAAACCTGGATGACCCTTAATGTTCTACTTTTGAACACAGACAAGACTGAGGTTTTGGTTTTTGGGCCTGAGCACCTTAGGAATGATTGTTTGTATTTCTCCCTCCTCAGATGGCATTAATCTGTCCTCCAGCTCTAATGTTAAAAATCTTGGTGTTATTTTTGATCAGGACATGTCTTTTATCCCCCACATTAAAAATGTTACTAGAACTGCCTTCTTCCAGCTGCGTAATATTGATAAAATTAGAAACATCTTATCTTAAAATGATGCAGAAATACTTTTTTCCTATCCTTGATGTGTTTTTTGTCTTTCAGGTACACCTGCACCCACATCTGGAACTACCATTCTGTATTCGTCTGTCTCTCCTTCCTGTCCTCTCAACCAGCCTGTCAAAGCAGATGGCCGCTTGTCCTGAGCCTGGTTCTGTTGGAGGTTTCTTCCTTTTAAAAGGGAGTTTTTCCTTTCCACTGTTGCCACTGTGCTTGCTCAGGATGGGAGACTGCATCGAAGCCAAGATTCAACGAGTCTGCTGGCCTCCTTAGATAGAGAACTTTACTAAATGGCTTTTCTATGTATGTGAATGTTCCTGTAAAGTGCCCTGAGACAACTTTTTTGTGATTTGGCGCTATATAAATAAACTGAATTGAATTGAATTGATAGTAGAGTGTTGTATGAATGGATAAATGAGGGCACAGATTGTAGTGTAAAGCACTTTGAGTATATCAATAAAATGGAAAGGTGCTATATAAGTACAGTCCATTTACCATTTACCAACTAAATATTGAGTGCTGTACATGTTCATACTTTTCATGCTCATACTTTTCAGTTGGGCAACATTTCTAAAAAAAACTTTTTTTTATTGGTCTTTAATGATGTTCTAATTTTCTGAGATATTGAATTTGGGGTTTTCATTAATTGTCAGTTAAAATCATCAACATTAAAAGAAATAAACATTTGAACTCTATCCGTCTGTGTGTAATGAATGAATATAATATACAAGTTTCACTTTTTGAATGGAATTACTGAAATAAATTCACTTT